TCAACATTTTGCATCTTGTCTTCTTCTTTAATTACTTCTTTTGATTTCATATTTAAAAAATGATCTCTTGATTTTGGATTTAGGCTTATAATTCTAATTCTTCTAGCACAGTCTTCAATAATTTCACTTTGTAGTCATGTGCTTTCTGCCTTTTTCAGTGCTGCTATTATCTGACTATAAAGAAGCAAGTCATATACTGTAATTTTGATTACATTTTTAACTACTAGACTCTTTACTATTAGCTCTATGTCATCTGGGCTTGATGGTTTTGTCTTCTCTAAAACTTTAACTAGCTCTTTGTTGTTTACATATTTAACTACTCATGCTCTATAATTGCTAACATACTTAAGCAGACTTTGTATTTATGCACTTTCTACTTGAACCAGATCTTCTTCTAGATTTTTCTGCATATGTTGTATTTGTTTGTTTACCTTTGTTTGTTTGTTGTGCATTCTATCTATTACTAAATTTGTATGCATTCTTATTTGTTTACTTCTGCTTTTAGTCATATGTTTTTACTTGTTGTTTTCAGAGTCAACGACAATTCCCAAAAAATTTCCAAAAAATTTTGTTTTTGCAAAGTTTCTGTTCTAGTGCCTTTCAGTTCTTTTTAGCTGCTGTATCTCTATACTATTTCTATATATTTTATCTTTCTGCTTCTTTTTTCTTATGACTCTTTTATGGGTTTTCTATATCATTTTTGTGTTATTGTCGATTGTGTATTTTTTTCAAATTTGTACAAAAGGATCAGTGGAAAGAGTTGTTTGGAAGACTGATATTATAATTTTGGAAGAATATATATTTTGATATAATTTGAAATTAGAGTGTAAAGCATTAATAGATTTCCAGAATATATGATATAAGGTAACTGGTCTTAAGATTGCATGTTTTTAAGCATTATCTATTATGCAAAACAGTAAAAAAGATGACCTATCTAAATCAGATATTGATGGGATTGTTGATCTATATTGTTAAGTAATCTTGGTTAGAATTGCCAGACTTCACTAAGATATATATACAATATTAATTATATTTTTTCATTTATAAATAATATCCATGTTCAATTATAATACCTGGCTATCCAACTCAAATATCCTGGAATCAATTACTTTTCCTCTCCAATCCCTATATGTGTCTCAATATTACAAACCATATAACTGCAATAATCAACAAGTTAAGAAAAATATATGCTAATAGAGGTAATATTAAAGTACTTGCTATAACAGAGACCACTCCTATTCCTTCTATTAGAATCTGGAAATTCGATTTAATTAATAAGGATATGTGTGCTTTACATCAGCTTTGCTGTTATTTTCTGGCAGTTATATAGTACTTCGTGATATTTTTATTATATAGTTTTTATATTTTGCTTTCTTATATTAAATGTATTAGAAAAAACTGAAAAATTATATGACTTTGATCATATTATAAAAGTGCAAGATTATAATAAGATTGATACTAAGCCCTTACTTATACCAAAAGATGTAAAGGACAATGCTTGGCTAAAGTTAGATCAAACCCTAATATTTATTTATGAGTTTGTAAAAATCAGTATCGATAAGAAGCATCTTATAGAAATATAAAATTAAATTATAAATAGTGCAATAGTTATTCTTATATATTTAAAAGATCATGTTAATATATATTCGAAGAATTATTACATAAAAAATTTCTATCTCGAAAACCTAAATTTTTAGAAGGCTTACAACTTGATGGATATAATAAGAAATTATATTTGGCCTTCAAATACAGTAGCAATCAGCATTATCAAATTGTTTTTTTTTTCCATCTACAAGGACAAATTAATTTAGATACACAAATTTAACATGATTAGAAGAAGAGAGCACTCTGTTTTAAGAAAAGTATAATTCTTATCACAATTCCTTATTGTGTTGTTGATCTGTCAACTTTCATCAAGAGTGCCTTAAATGCATTTAGTTTTCTTTCAATACCTATCTAGGAAGTAAATGCATATCTTTTACAAATTGAAGTTCTTCTTTCATGAATAGTGTCTTGGACTGTTATGTAGCTTGTAAAGAACTGACTGGTTATTTTTTCTTGAAAATGATTTGATCGAAAAAATTTCAGAAGACCAGTTACAATCAGTAGCCCTCCTTCTACAGCCTTTTAGTTCACCAGGTTTTAATAGATGCCAAACTTTAATATCAGATAATAGGAGGGGTTCATCATAACCTATAGGCCTTTTGTGCTTAACAGCTAGATCTGCAAAGATTTTCTCACCTTCTAATGATTTTTTACAGCTTTATTGAGTAATATGTATATTAACTTTGTAGAGAAATTATTATATTTATTATCATTAATGTAAAGGCTAACAACCCATTCTCTAAATCTATCAGTTAATAGTAAATGTAAGTCCATCACATCTTGGTGAAAAAAGGCATGCTTTTTAAATTCTTAGTGATTTTGCTTAGCAATAACCATATTTATTTAGATTTAGCATACTGAATTCTTATGTTATGTCTGAGAAATAAATTCCTACACTCATCTATATATTCAGTTCTTTTATTCATGATTAAAACTTTTGGCCAGCTAAGTAGGCAATTTGAATCGTCATAAATTTTTTGAATCTCTCTAGCCATTTGCATAGCTGTTTTATCAATTAAAGTGAAACTGTGCCAATATCTAGTTGCAATATCCTTTATTACTTCTCAGTATTTATAAGTTTAATTGCCAACTTTATCATAAGGCATAGATGTAGTATCAGACTGATATACTTTATTCAATATTCATACATTGTTAAAAGAAGCATATTGAATAAATTTTGGCCAAGGCTTATAGATCTGATATAAGACCTGTTAAGCCAATTTTTTATTATAGCCAAAGTGAACTCATATTCTGCCTTTTTACAAGCATTTCATATTTTTTTAGCTTTCCAATAATAACCTTCAGGCCTATAATAAATTTTTTGCAAAGTAATCTTCCTATTCAAATCATAGGCTCTTTGTGGGTCAATATAAATTACAGGCTTCTTTATTCTTTTGTTTTATTATAGTAATAAAAAACATGAAGAAGTTACAACAAACCAACTAAGAACTCTATAAGGTGGTATTGCAATTAGCAGAACCAAATAGAAATTTTGAACAGCAACTATATACCTTAGAAAGAGTTATAGGTATATGAGAAGAAAGAATATGATTCCTTGAAGAAAAGTTAGATAATGCTATAGAACTTTCTATACAAGAAAAAAAAGAATTAATAGAAGAAATCTCAAAACTAAAAAGAATTGTTCATCAGCTTGAAGAAGAAAATAAAAAGAAAGACAAGATAATTTCAAATAAGAAAAAGTTAATATAGGAATTTGATGAACATAAAACAAAATTAAAAACCAGAATATGAGAAATATCAAAATCAGCTAGAAATATATCTAAAGCACAAGATTATACAACCAGATTAGTAGATAAGAATGAACATCTTAAATAAGAAATAAATACAGTAAGAACAAATTAAATAAATAGGATTAGTAAAATAAATTAGCAAAAAAACCATATTACAGAACTGCTTTGTTAAAATTTTTATTAACATTATTAAGATATCAAGATAGATTAGAACTTATAAATATATGAGAGGCATTAGAAAATGCACAAGCATAGAATTATAATGAAGATGAATCTAATTCTGATAAAAATTCTCAAGATAATTATACTTTTGATTTAGATATAGGCACAATAGCTGAATTGGCCAATGCTATAAACAGATTCTTAAATGATACAACAATATATAAAACCATTTTAACAAATCAAATTAAAAGATCAACAAGATCAATTTGATATAAATATACTAACCTGCAACAAGATCTAATAAACAAACAATGAAATTATAATATATATAAGCAGGAGCGAGATCAGGCATTGCAGCAATTAGAAAATGAACAGGCATTTAATAAATATTGGTGATACTGAATATATGATAGATATATAAAATAGAAGAATAAAACTAAAAATAAGTATATACAAATACAGAACTGTTGAAATGAAAGAGCTCTTGATGAATTTTGGCAAGATCAACTATATGATCAGTATAAAAAATAGAAGAATAAGACTAAAGATGAATGCCAAATAATTTTAAATTAAAATCAGAATATTTTAAATTTGCAACAACAAAATTTTGCATTAGTAAATAATCAGCAAAATCAACTGATAGCATTACCTGTAAGATTTGCACAACCAGAATTCCATGATAGTGAAAAAGATCATAAAGATTTCATAGATAGGTTTACATTATATATTACCTTGGCTGAAGTAAATAATAATGCAAATATTCTTACTATATTAGATTAATCCTTAAAAGAAAAATCGAAAGAATGGTATTATAGAGAATTTGATAATAAAAATTGAGAGTTAGAAAATGTACTTGATAACTCTGATATAGATGCAACAATAGCACATATTTGTGGTGCTAATGCAGAAGGTATAACAGATGCAGTTATTTCTTTTCTAAATATTTTATTTGGACTTACAGGTGCACAAATTATCCCTGCTCGAAATGTTGCTAAAGATTAGACAATAGCAAGAGAATGCCTAACTAATGCAATACCAGTTGCACCAAATGCTAGAGGAGGTGTTTTTATTATTCTAACAGGAATGTGATCTGAACAAAGGCTTTGGTAGATAAAAAAACATTATCTAACTGCTAATAAATATGTAAAGATATTAGAAATTGGAGCATTAAAACAAGGCATACATGAGAATGTACTTTTATTCTGAGCAAAAATTCAGAAATATGGCAATCAACTGAGTTATACTTCAGCACAAAAGAAAATCTATTTCTTATCTGAAGTTAGACCTGATATTAGAGATGAAATTTATAGAATTGGTTAAACAAAACCCATTAACGATATTATTGATAGTTTGGCAGAACTTGAATTACATCATGGAATATTACAACAGGCATTATCTCAATCTTGCCATGCACCTATTGCTCCTGCTATTCTAGATATTATATCTTAACAACTAGCATTCTCCATAGCTGATATGCAAAAAATGATTCAAGATACATTTGCAAAACAGCAAGCTGAATCTAAAGCTAAGATAGAAAAATTAAAGGCTGAACTTCAAGCACAACAACCACAAGTTGCAACAGTAGAAAATTTTCAACTCCTACCCAAGTTTTATTCTATAAAATCAGAAAAACCTTAGCAAGCATTTTACATAGTAGATCAAAAGGATAATAATATAGATCCACTTATCCAAGATCCAGATTACCTTAAATATTTTGAGCAAGCAAAAGCCTAATATAAAAAACCACAAAGATTTAACTAATCTATCAAAATGAATAGAATAGAAGAAGGGCTTAATAAAACTTGAGATATTATAAATCAGTTAGCAGACCAATTATAGAAAAAAGTGTATATAAATAAATATAGAATTTGTGAAAAAACAGGCCATAGCAAAGGCAAATACCCAATTAACTTACAGTCTAATCTAATTATATTCAATCATATTTTACATCTCTTAAGCCAATATATCTCCAATATACACCTTTTAATTCAGATGATAGCAAGGAGGATGAACATAAGTATAATAAGAAAGATAATTAATAACATGCTCCTTCATCCTATTTAGAAAAAAAAAACAGATATCACCAACAATAAGTAAAATATCACAAAATAAATTAGTAATTTCATGCAAATCTTTAGTTACAGAATCCAAACAATATGAAAAAGTCACTATGCCAAACCTTTTACCAGAATTGGATAACCAGTTATTAGAATTATTATCTTCAGCAATATGAAAAAACATTATTGACCCATTTACAAAAAATAAATGAGCTGAATCACTTGAATATATGCAGTGTAGAATTAAAGATATAATTATTTCAGATGGGTTTGCCGATACAGCATCAGGATATCTTGTTATGAATAAAGCACTAAATGAGGCATTAAGATGAAATCTTGGAATAGCACCAAATTTTTCTCTTAGACATAATTCTGATTATATAATGAAATTAAAAGAAGGATATAAAGATATACCAATATCTATAAAATATAAAAATAAATAGGTTACTGAAATAGGACATGTTGTTGTTATTGATGATAGAAAACCCAATTACCTTCTTTGTTTAGAAATGCCATAAATTCGAAAAGTTCAAAGAATTTTAGATACAAACAAACATGAATTTCAAATGATAGTTCATGGAAAATCTTATATTATTTCAACCTTAAATACCTATATAATGTATAGATATTATTATAAAATCTGTTTTCTAAGTTCTTTTTTTTTTCTACTATTGTATTCTTTTTTGTTTTGTTGTTGTGTCTTAGAAGCATTAGTCTCTTTAACTTTTCTGGTTCTAAATTATGTATACCACACTCTATTATTTTTATTTTTATTTTTTTTAAGCTAACTGCTTAAAAATGCAGATGGCATCTTTTATTATTAATTATTGCTAATATACAAGAATATTTA